TACTTCAACACAGTAATTTCAAAGAGCAGGGCATGTATCTAATGAACGGAATTAACAGGAGTCCCAGTGACAAAAGGGGGGAAGGGGGGAAATGAAGAAGAGTTGAAAGACACCAAAAAAAGTTAGCTTCAGTTTTGTCACTTGCATCAATTTTTGTCTTGTCGGTGATTTTTACCATTATATTTCTTTCCTTAAAAATTTCTTTCCTTAAAAATTAATCTTTTTTTTTTTTCAAGGTTAACCTAACCATTCTTATTTTCAAGTACTTACCCATCAAAAGTGTTATGAAAATAATAATTAAAAGAATCTGCTACCTACCATCTTTGTGCCCAGGTCATTACATTTTTCAAGACCCAGTCCACTTTGATACAGTCATCTCACATGAAATAGATTTTGCATAGTCACAGCAAATAATGACAAGCCTTTTGCCTAAGTGGAGAAACAGCAACATCCAGTTAATTCTCATGTAACCCTTTAACAGTAAGGAGGTAAACACTAACAGTTGGCAAAACCATGAATGTGGACCTTCTAAGATAAAATGCCACAAAGACATGCAATAAAAAGATTCTATTTACCCCAGAAGCCCAAGAAACAAGTTTCCAAATGTATCAATTAGCAGGTGTACTGAGGAACTCTCTAGGCTGATGGTACCAAATCAAAAAACATACACGTTTTCCCTTACCTTTCTAAGACTGCAAAATTTGAAACATCTGGAGTAATTTGATTCCCCCCCCATAGTCTTCTTCTTCTTAAAAACTACATATGACATTAAACCTTAGTAAATTTGGTGAAATAAATTAATTTTAAAGGAAATCCCAGCTCCTTATTTGCATCACGCTAGAGTCAGCTATAGCTTTGAGGTAGGAAGCAGAGCTGTCAGTTTACAGACTTGCTGAAGCAGTAAGTGGGATGAGGCTGTGACCAGGAGAACATCACCACCTCCAAATTTGAGCCTATTCATGTCCCAAATCTCTGCAGCTTCAGTTTATGTGCACCACTGTAGATTCATTCTGCATCCAGGTACTGAATACATCTCTTTAGAGCCAGTATTTTCAAATGGAGCTGAAGCTGAAGTAGCTGTAAATCTTCTTTCCATCTGCTGGGAAAATCCAAGCCGATTGGGTATTTTTAGTCTTTCATTTCCTGGTTTACAGGTGCAGTTTCACATTCTTAGTGGGGACTTCGTAGTGGAGATTTGGGGACATATATTTGTTTCCCTGATTGATTTAGTTAATAAGCAAATCAGCAGACAAAACTCTTGTAGTTTTTTCCCTAAAAATGTGTTATTTTAAAATAGTAAGGCAAACACAGTTCAGTTTAGCACATAGGCCAGTCCAGAAGTTACCATAAATCTACATCAACATCTTTCAGTAGGTTTCCAAACGTCCTTTCATAGGCTATGGTTTGCCCTCACCTCTTGCAGGAGCAAGGTGCTGACTGGCAAGGCTTTGTCTCCCCTTTTTGGCAACCCATGTTGTGTAGGAGTGTTTTGATGGCATATTTAAAAGGACTCCAGCTTCCCACCAGGATGGGCCGAAGGACCTTGCCACTTAAAACTGCTCTAGCAAGTGACACCTTCCTAGAAATCATGTTAATAATGTTGATAATTCCAGATAAACGAGGGCACCAATTACCTAAGCTGATTTCACACTGAGATGTGTATGAATGTATTTCCAAAGGAAGAGCCAGCTTTTCCATGCCTGTGAATCTGCAGCACAGGCTGCAAGTTGCCAGATAAACATTCATTGGGGTTAAATAATGACTTTTGGCTCTCAGCTCATCTAATTTGTTAACAGGAATAGCAGCTACAGAATGGGATTTTCTACAAGATTTACTTACATAAGAAATCCCGATGACAGATTGATGTCATTCAACCAGACCTCCTCACATGATTAGGCCTTGTGCAATCAGCCTCTTCTTTCTTTCCTGCTTCAGCTCTAAGCTGAAAATTAGCATTGAGAAAGCCCCAGACAACTCAATTGGAATAACCAGAGGTTTGGAGCACATTTCTTGATGCTTTAAATCTACCTGGGAAATCTCAGGAGAATTTGTGCTAGCAGCATAGAGCTCCCCGTAGCCAGTTTGCAGGGATGGAACGTCACACACGGGTTTTTTTCAAGGGCAAAAGCAAGGTGGTGAATCCTTGAATGAAGCTTCAGATCTGTTCTCAAATTTGCATAGTGCTGTCTTAACTGAAATTCACCTCTGAGTATTTTAGAAAAGCAAATATCTTACCTTTTCTTCGCTGAAACACACGTAAAATTGAACCACCGTTAATAACAAAACGATTCCTAGGACAGGCAATGGACAGCAAACTGTAGTTTTAGAATAGGTTTATATAAAATAAGGAAGATTAGTCTACTTTGCATCATATTCAAACTTTAGCTTATTATTATGCAACGAAAAAGGACAGAAAAAGATCTGTTGTTTTTAAATACATTTAATCTTATCAAACATGTTGCCTTTATTTTGTTTAAATCCTTGCTAAATCTTAACATCAACAATAATAAAAGGCTTTTAAAAACCTTTTCTTTAATCACACAGTAGCCTCATTGTTTTACTCTAAGGCAGAAAACAAACAGAGTCATCATAAATAAAACACTGACATGGAATATAAGACAAACCCAGGCCAGACAGTTTGCTAAAAAGTTTATGAAAAGTGCATCTGGCTGGCTCAGGACTCCCTGAGTAAGGTAGACATTCTCCCACACACCTCTTGGCTATTTAGCCACTCATGAGAAATCTGAAATAAAGGCTGCCTTTCTTATTTTAAAGGTATTGCATTTACATGTCACTTGCTGTGTGAGGTAGGAACCAGTTTCTAGGGGCTGGATCTGGGCCTCACCTCCTTATTGTTGCCCCTCCATTTGCTATGCAAAAAGAGATTTAAGTGCAAAACAAAGCTTTAGCTGTCTATGAAAGTGAACTGCTGTTTATTTTCAATCACAATTCATCAGCTGATTGTGAAGGACACTTCTCATGATTTTCACCCTCAAACCAATAAGAGACACAAAAAACTAGGTGTAATTCCCCCCCCCCCCCCCCCAAGGATGCCTTTGAAAAAAGGGCACTTTAGCACTAGAAGAAAACCATGTGTTCAGGTTATCTAATTCAAAGCTCCATGAAGTTTCTGTTTTGTAACTGAACCCTGCCTGGAGTAAATTCTTAATTGAAAAATAGCAGCAACTCAAAAGTGCATAAATTACAAACTTCATCAATAAATTAAGGACATGGATTTGCTGCATCTAACTATCCTCCTAACACTCCCACGATCCTTTTCTTTTTACAATGACATGGAAAATCAGAAAAAAGGTACTACTATATCAAAACTAAAACTAATCTAAGATCTTCAGTAGATTTCTTTCTGAGATAAGGCAACTTGTCTTTTACCAAAATCCAAAAGATATACAGAATGACTGGAAGTAGCCCAATAACAAGACAAGCCCTCCTACACCACCGAGTCTTAAACATAGGTTTTTGCATTCATATGTAGACTTGTAATTCAGGGTATGAGTTTTCAAGAAATAGCAAGCATCTCATTCCCAGGGATGCTGATTATTGAAGAGCTTGCACAGTAGGAAGGCTGAGGAGAGATCCAGTCCTGAGCAGTGGGGGAGGCAGGATGTTTCAGCAGAATATTCAGCTATAGTAGGTGCAGGTGTGGGACTTGCAGTTTCATTTACGTCTTGTACAGACTCCTTGTGAGTCCTGCATTCAGAGCCTAAGCAGTCCAGTGGTCATTTGAAGACTACAGGTAGCATTTTGGATCCCCACATTGAGGCCTTGGCTCTAAAGGACCCCCCTTCCACCAGCAATCCATGAGGGGTTGTGCCCAGGGGTAGGAAAATTGCTTAACCAATATGTAAGGACTGCCTTTACTCTGAAGTTCTTATTGGAATTGTTCTTCAATATGAAATTACTCTTCATCCTCATAAGGCATTCATATTCAGGATCATATTCATTCATGGCAGAGATGAATCCATCAGTGAAGTATCAGTAATCACTTGCTTTGCAGTGAGATGGTTTCTGCTGGCTGGCATGCCCTTGGAAAAGCGTCTGTTTCTTGATCAAAAAAGGTAGTTCCCAGTTCATTTGTGGCAAATATTTTTTTTCCTTTGGAACAAATTTAAATGCCATATTTATTTCTAGTGAGATTGTTCATGGGGACAGACTTTAAAAGAAAAAAAAACCAGTTTGAGTAGATCTTGTGTTTCTGCATTTTAAGCATACTGTGTGTTGAACAGAGTAGGTCTCGAAGACAACAGGTACAGGGGTAGCAGCACAATGTTGTGATGATGCACTTTGACAATAGCAACTTCAAGCAACTTGAACTTCACAGAATCCACAAAAACATTCCTGTTTAAAATGTACTTTGCAATAAGAATATCAAGCTTTTCTCCTTCCCCCTCTAACCTCCTGCAAGCACAGAAATCCTTCTTTTCCTCAGCTAGGACCAAACCTCAGTCCTGCTGATGCTATTTTAGTTACCAAGGCCACAGAGCAAGGTGAGCATCCAGGTTCTCTGCTGGAGTCAGTGCAGATGATAGTCTCTAAGAAGAATAATCATCAAGGATCCACTTTGCTAGAAACACAGCTGTGACAGCATTTGCTTCATTGGAGGAGGAAGATTCAGCTGCAGACCTTGCCCGTGGCTGAAGAAAAATATGGTTTTTCTTTTTTTTTCCCACTGGAAAATGTTTGCATTTATAAAGCAGGTAAATTGGTAGCTTTTAAATGTAATTTTAATGATGCCAGTTCATAATTTCTGGTAAGGGAGAAAGTTTCACAGCTCAAAGATGAGGCAGACAATTTCATACATTTAGCATGAGTTCAGAAGGGGTTAGCGTCTCTGACAGCAAAGATAGCGCTTGCTGTGAACTAAGGTTGCTTCAAACAAAATTACATAGGAATGTATCTACTAAAAAAATAACCATTCAGAATTAGAGACAAATATGAGTTACATGTAGTCTATGTAGTTAAATCCATTTTTTACTTTGGAATTAGATGCCTGTTTTTGTGGTAATCCAGTCACGGAAATAAGTCACTCGTGTGTAAACTCCAGGTTTATTTGGCTTGGCACATTCATCTCCCCAGCTCACTATTCCCACGAGGTACCACATCAGTCTAGAGTCTGGAGTAACCAGTGGTCCCCCAGAGTCCCCCTAGAAAAAGAGGAGGGGGAAGAAATATTTAATTGATCAGAAGAGAAAATACAATTCTCTCCATAGACAGGAGTGTCTGTCCTATAAGAGAAGTTAACAAGCAGTATTTCAAGAGAAGCCATTTGTGCAGAATCCAGACTGTTTCTGAAACTCAAGTCAGAAGTCTGTGGCATTTTCCTGTTTGCCAGGGCACCTCCTGACCTCTGTTTTGGTTAAAAAAACCTAACAAAAAGCTTCTGTTCTGTTTTGTGATACACTGCTTCCCACCTGCCTTGTCTTCTTCCTTGTACAGAGTATGGAAACACCAGTGTAGGCAGCAATCTAAGAGAGCATGAACCTTTTTTTTAACAGGTTTTAATAGTAATTGCTATTCTTAAAATAAACAATTTTAGTCACTTTAAGCAATAACATTAAAAAATGAGCTTAGAACTCCTTTTTGCTTTGAGCTTTCATCAAGAACTTGGTCTTCTAGTCAGATGATATCTCCTTAAGGTATTATCCACTTTCCAAGGCTCAGTTTTGATACTGTTAATAGTATGACATGGTAATAATAATTAAACTGGAAACCTTACAGACTGAGAGGCAATCCTCACACAACAGACCAAATTCCCCAACTTTCACCAAAATTATTTACTGAACTAAACAGCAGTTGCACCCTTCTGCTTAGGTCTTTTCTGTGCTGAGCCAGGAACAGAGGAATGAGCTTCCCTGGCTTATCCTGCAGGGAATTTGTTTTTGGCAAAAATCTATAGGACTGGGATTAAGGGAAGAGTCTGTATTAAATCAGCACTTTAAGACCAAAATCTTTAAAAATAACATAAATAGAAATTATGTTTTTAAAAGTTAACACTATGGAAATATTTTTCTTTGAACATAAGCATTTCCTTGGAATGTTTGCAAACCTGCAGCATGCATATTTCCTTCCCATTCTTTTACACCTGCCTTCCTTATAGTTATCTTTGCTTCAGACAGTTTTCCTTTCACTGAGCAAAGTCTGTTACCAAAGATCACATTGTAACAGATCTGTTATGATACGATCCAGTCCAGAATTTAATTTCAGTGAGTGACAGTGCATTTTTTTTGGTAATTTAACCTTCTTAACCCTCTTCCTTCTCATCTCTACAGATGTCTGATGTTAGCTACTCAAGACATTTAATTTTTAGCTCATAATTAGTATAACAGCATTTAGTGCTAAATGCTATTCTACTTTACACCTAAACTGCTGTTTGCTTGGAGCCTATTTAAAGGACTAATACACTGTCCATTAAGATGTGGTCAACCAGATACTGCAATCAGCATTAAAATAGTTTTCCTAATTTTCAGCTACAATTACCTGACAAGCATCTACTCCTCCTTCCAAGTATCCCGCACACAACATCCTGGGTGTTATGTCCCCATCATACACTTCTTTTCTGTTGCAAGTATCTGAGTCAATAAGTTTCACTGTTGCCTCCTGAAGAGCATTTGGGGCTGGACCTGAAAGAAAATACAATTTGGGTATTTATGAACATAATTACTTTGCAGTAGTTAATGTACAGTAGGAGTGTTTAATGTCCTCTTATGGAGCACCAGCTTGACTTGGTTTAATGTGGGGGTTTTGCTTGTTGATCTGCCTAGGTCAGGCCCTTAAGGAGAAAGTACATAGAATCACAGGAACCATTAAGACTGAAGTAATGATCGCATGGTACACAGTGCCTTAAGTGTAAAGCCATATATTTTACACATGTTCCATAACACAAATTCCATGTTCCATGGAACACAAATTACCTAGCAATTTGAGCAGATGATACAAAATAAAGACATCTTGATTCCATTGCTAAATGTGCTCTTACTGTGGTCTGGTGAGAGTGTAAGCTTGGGTAATGCACAGCTCACTCACATTTACCTGAAAGCTCACAGTTATCTGTAGCTTCTGACTAGTGCTGGCAGAATAGTTTTTTAGGTTCTATATAAACATGTGCATGGCTGGACTACCTGTCTTAAGAATTTACAATACGAAATGGAAAGGCTGGGAAAACAGAAGAGTCTTCTCTTTTTTTTTGCTCCAGTGGACTCTAGTTCTGTCTTTATCCACTCAAATTTTAGAAAAAGAAATTGATGCCTACAACTAAACAAACCTAGGCTTGCTGTGATATCGCATGAGGCCACAGAAGTCATATCAGTTCACCCAGAGCTGCTGTTTATGGCCCATGCAGGTCACCTGGCAGACTCAGAACTCACCATCATTGGTGAGAGCTCCCCAGCCTGTGATGACAGCATAAGTATTGTAGGGAAAGGTCTGAGATGGCTCTGGCAGACAGACGCGGTGTATGCTGCTTGTGAACTCCACTCGTTTGGAGAGCTGCACTAGCGCAATGTCATAGTCGTGCTCTGGGTACAGGTACTTCTCATGGATAATAATTGTCTTGACTGATCGCTTCAAGCTTGGGGGCTTCAAAAGAGCTCCAAAAGTAGCAGTCCACTTCTGAGGGTGAGTCATGCTGAAAAAGGTAAGAGTGCTATAAGTATTTCGCTGTATATATGTGTTTGGGACTTTAAATTTGCAGAGTGCCTTTACTGTAAAACTCCTTCAAGCTAGCTCCCTACTAGACAGTTGTGGCATCCATCACTTTCAATAACAGAACTGTGGGCTGCTGCTAGAAGAGGGCACTCCTGCATTCTCTCCTCAGCCATAGTCTTGTACTCGTCCCCTGTTCCTTGTCCCTTATCTAACCATTGTGTGGCCATAGGGTGTCATCAAATCCAAAAGCTCTTCTGCTGTAAACTCTTCATTTCCCTCACTCTTTTTGCACATTGATAATCTGTTCCACCAACTGTTCCATCTTAAAGTACCTTGCAGCTTCACAATTGCCATGCTTTAAACAAAAAATGCTGGGAGTGCATGGGTGAGCAGAGGGGCAGGAACATGGGATGGTAGCTGTTGGTAGCAGTCTGCAGTGGCAGCAACCCCAAAGCATTTGTTTAAGAAATGTAAAATATAACAGGAAACAAATACTCCACCATTTCGCTCGCCTTGCCTTTTCTGCACTTTTTTGGTCAGTAAGCCAAGTGACTACTGATTTTCACTCATAAAATTGCCAGTTCTGCTCCTGAGGGCCAGTCTTTGATTTCTCATTGAAACATCCAGCTGATGGGCCTACTTCACTCTGACTTTTCTCTTCCAAAATTGTTTGTCTGGGAAAGAGTCAGGGGTGTGGTGCAAATCTGCAAAACCACACAACTTGATACAGAAGGGGCACATTGTGCTGCAGAGTCCAAGGTGGGAACTTACTCTCTGAAGCAGTGCGCTGCAGACACCAGCCATGTGTTGCTGATGAGCGTCGCACCACAGCGATGGATGTTGTTGTACTGCAGACTGGCCTGCCACGGCCAGTCCCCGGTCTCTGCAGAGGACAATCCGCCAACAATCCGCAGCGATGAGGATTTTGCCATGGACTTGACTGATCTGTTCTGCCGTAACCCACAGACTGTCAGAAAGGACAAAGACAGTATTAGCTATTCTTTTGTTTAGGAAATCCTGTGAATGGCTGTGGAAAACATATGAAAAATTCCACACCGCCTGTGTTCTGTAAAAATGTATTGACATCAACAAGAAAACATACCTTCCACCAGTGCCCCCAAATCCGAGCTCCTCATGCACAACCCATGCACAACTGACTATCATGGAAAGCCATGACTGTCAAACATTCAGGCTTAGCTGTGTGAGCAGCCTGAATCAGGAATCAAAACCTTCACCACGCACCCAAGACAATTCCCAAATAGAGGCATTGCCAACTTTAATGTCTCAGGTAATTTCTCATAGGATAAAATATGAAAAAGGCAGAACCTAGAATGGGTACAATCTAAGTTGTGGGGTTTGACCATGCATGCACACAGATTACATCAGCAAGATGTCACCTGGAGACAGGCATGACACAAAACGAGCATTTTTATCCAAACCCAGAGAGAAATTGAAATATCCATAGTTTCAGCTATTAAACTCAGGATATTCAGGAGTAGCTGAAGCTCTTGTATAGCTTTAGAAACTTCCTCAATGAACAGACCTACTTCAGCCGTCTTCTCCCATCCAAACAGCATCAAATCCATCCTACTTGGACCAAGACCCACTAGTTTTCATCCAGGTCCCAATTTCAGCTAGACATTAGGAAAGCATTTCTTAAACAAATGCTTTGTGTTACAATGGGGTTGCTGCCACTGCAGACTGCTACCAACAGCTACCATCCCATGTTCCTGCCCCTTGACACACAGGGCTATCCCAATTAATTGAAAAAGAAACAGGGATGAGAATTATTTGCATAGTGACCACACAGTCCAAACCATTGCTGCATGGCTCATCTCCCAGACAGTGACCTGGGAGGGGGCCAACACAGAACTTGGTAATTCATCACTGAGGAGCTGCCAGCCCCAGGGCCCTTGAAGTCCTCAGAAGTTAAGAACTGGAGCCACAGAGAGTGTTATCTCATCCCTTTCCTGCTAGGATCTGCACAACATTATGTTAACAGTACTTCATGGTCAAAAGCGGCAGGAATACCACAGCAGACTGAAAACTGTTCATAAATTTAGAAAAAGAAAGAAAAGTTACACCACAGTGAGGAGTTCGTGAGCTCAGTGTAGAGTCTGCCCTCTTCTGATATTTAAAACCAAAATGAAGGAAATCAGTGAAACCTGTTCAAAAGTTTTGTCTAAATGACAAACTTCAGAATATACCACAGTTCATAAGACTGTCTGAACAAACATTTTTTCCTCCTGAAAGCTCTTTGTAACCCCCAGTAACTGGTCCTAAAACTGCACAATCCTATCAACCACCTGAGCAGTCAATGTTCAAAACACAGGGAATAAACTCTGTTCTATCAGTGTCCCAGAACACCAGCACCATCAGACCCAAAAAGTAATTTAATCTTCAATTGTTTGACAGCTTATTGCTAAGCACCTGATCAAACCTTCTCAGAATTAAAAGAAACACAACTTGTAAGCAAAGATAGCTTTTATGACTATATTATCTCCAAGCAAGCTGACCTCTTTCTCTGAAAACTTAAAAAACATCTCTAAAACAAGGTCTCTCTATCTAACCCCTACAGCAATGTGTTGAGAAGACCAGTCACATTTCCATATATTTCCACAAGGAACAATTATCTGCTGTCAGCCATTCCAAATTCCAGAACATTTTGATTGTAATCACAGGCTGATGTAACTTCTATACATTTCCTTGTGGTACCTCTCTCCTTTCAATGCGTGCTAAAGCAAATGACAAAGTCCCAATTTCTGAGAGTACAAGGTTACATTCATTAGACAGAAGGATGAGAAAAGGCTCTTAAGGGCCAGGAAGAGTGCTCAGGGACTCTTGACGCTAATTTTAAAAGCTAGAGATGAGACTTCTGATGTTTAAAAAAAGCCTCACTTACTGTCATTGAAGATGGCTTCTGCTCTCACTGGCTCCACATCTGAAACAAAGAAACAGACAGTCAGGGTAAGGCCAGGCCAGCACAGACAAGGTTCCCCATCCTCATGGTCATCCCTCTGACAGTTGTTTGAGCACAGGGCACACAGGAGGCATGGCTGTGGGAGCTGCTGGAGAAACCAGGGTAGCTCATATGTGTTCATGTTCATGTGCTGGTTGCTGGCCTCCTCTGCAGTGTTGTCTGAGGACCAGGCACTCATTCAGCCCATCCTGCTGCCCCTCAGTGTTTCTGGAGGGGAGTATGGACAAAAAAAATCTTGTATTACTCAAGATCTACAATTTTGTTGGGGAGAAATTATTATGGTGGAAATTTTTGAAGCTCCTCTTTTTTGCAAAAAAAAAAAAATCAAGAGTTCACATATTACATCCAAGAGAGGGCCAGAGAAGACCTGGTACTCTATGCCCTCTTCAAGATCAGAAGGCACTAACTTCACTGTAGCAATGGAAGCTTACAGTAGCAGTGGCTCACTCTCCTTTCTCCTATCTTATTGGTACACTAATAATACTAAAATAGATAGTTCATAGCAATTTATTGCATGGCCCAGCAGGTGCTAGCAATACGTTCCCTCCTTTAACACCCATATTGTGTGTTCACTGAAAATATGGCATACCCATGCTGACAATAGCAAGCATTGGCTCAGGGTTTAAATCTATCCCTTTTCTTCCAGAATGCTGTTTTTCACTAGAGCTACCACTGTAGTTTCCAGCATTCAAAACCATTTTTAAAATATTACTAATTTTTAAAAAATCATAATTTCAATGTAGTTTTTTATTCATATAGTGATTCTATACTGGTGTCAACAACTTCATATATTGTGTCTGGATAGGCTTTCTCAGCAAATCCCTATCCTTATCAATTCCTTCCTTTCCCTTTACTGCTACACAGAATAATATGCTGGTTTTCAGCTAAACCCACACCAAGTCAGGAGGAGTCCCTTTTGAATGCAAAGGGCTCTGGCTCACACTTGTCACCTGTTGGGTTTGTATCTCATGTGTTTTGCATGCAGGCTTGACACTCCCTCGGGTATGCTGGGTGAATTGTCTGTTTGCAATCCACCAGTACCAGATGTGAGCTTACTCATTTCTTAATGTGACAGTGAGCAGATTGTGATAGAAGAAAGGAAACAAGCAGAACTCCAGCACACATGCAGATTGTCTGCAGGGAATGTTACAGACCAAAGGCAGTGCTAGGGCTGACGTGTGTGTGCAACCACTGCTTTATTTTATAAGGATGGGAGATGAGTTAAAGTTGGACATTTATATAGCAGCACAGTCTATTCACTGTAGAAGGAACTGAAGTCTTATTCACTATGAACAGGAACTGTTCACATGATGAAGATAATTACATTTCACTGCTGGGCAGGACACAACTTCCAAGGTCCTCTTTCAAATAAAAATGCTCATTTGTACTTTTTCAATTCATATGAAAAAAAGGAAGAAAACATTAAAAATACACTACTTTTGCATTTCAGTAACACTAGTTGTATTATGTGAATTTCCCTGGATTATATGGTTGGTTGCCTCCTAGAACCTTTACATCAAAATGGAATAACACCACAGAGCAAAAGCTAGGTCAGCAGAGGGATTCAGCGGTGGTATAAACATTACTGTTTGCTAAATTGTACTAAGGCTTTGGCCACTTCCCCTGTACCTTTATATTGGCTAGAAGTGCTTTGAAAAATTTGGCCCTACTAGTTTCTTTCAACTATGATGAGCCAGTGTTTTCCTAGAAATTCAAACAATCTTCAGAACTAGTTCATCATTTGAGTCACACCACTACTTTATAAACTGGTAAGAAACCAACAAATGTAATTCACAATGAAAGAGAACTTTTTGCCTTTAAGTACAATACTGACAAGAGTGTTTTTTAGCTTTTCTCTGGGTGGAGAGACATTTACCTCATAATTCATAATTATAAAGCCTGCAGCCAATTATTATCACTTACATTATGTTGCAAAGCTCATTGAGAAGACAAAAGGAGCAACCAGCTTGTTCAAGTGCAGTGCCGGAAGCAATTCAATTGGCATGTTCCCACTGCATCGAGTTTTGCTGTGAGTCACAGGTGCTCTGCAAGGCACCTGCATCTATCTCTGTTTGCCTTTTTATCAGGCACCTAGAAAAAAGTAGAACCCTGACATGGCGAAAATTTTACCCATTGCTTCCAGTTGGATCAACTTCTGTGTAATTGGAGAAACAAGCCTTCCATGCACACACTTCCAGTTTGTACAGCTCTGAATGTCAGCATGTCTTATAATATATCACTACTATGCAACTGCTATACTCTCCTACCCATCCACTGCTGAAGGAAAAAGGCCAGTGATACCCTGTTTTAATTATTGTTAGAAAATTCAGTGCTGTATTCACTAGGGTAGGGTCCCAAACACAGAGCACATGCATGTGTTTGGAAAACTGAAGTAACTGACCCTATTTTCAGATAAGCTGAGCTCACAGTAGATCAAAAGCAGGGAGCACTCTGGGTTCCATGACACCACTGAAAATAAAGTTCCTTACTGGTTTACCTTGCTAGGGGCTTGCCTTCATTTGTTACCAGCTTCACATTTTGGCCTGTTGAAGAGCACAGATGTTCATATTGTGCTAGCCTATATGTTGCAAGCCCTGCCTTGAAGCAGTCGCTTGTAAGGCACGAGAGAAAATTTCGCTGCCCTGCTCATTTACTAGTTGCCCTGGTTGTTTGCACTACCAAGAAAAAGCATCAATTAGTAACAATTAAAGTGTCGTATCTTGCCCTAACCACATATGGCTGCAAAAGTAGTTCTTTGTGCCACATTTAGGAAAACAGTGTTCAAGATTCTACTGTAAACAAGTTTGACTTGAACCTGCATTGAATACCTGTAAAATGGAGCTTGCTAATGAATTCAAGCTTGCTTAACTTTAATGATAAAATGTATGTTTAAATTAAAATGGCAGCAATCTATTGAAATGCAGCTTAGGGATTCCATCTCTTAGAAGAGGGCTCTGTTCTCCAACTGGACAAGCAATTTTTTTAATATAGTTATTTTTTATATTTATTAAACAAAATAACTCTAAAACACACCTAAATTCTTAATTTCTGATTAACTTAATTAAGGCTAATAAATAATCAGTAAAAAACTCTTTTACTCCTCAGCATATGTGTCTGAGCAAACTTGGAAGGAAATGCTTATAGCTAACTGCAGAGTGAATGGGACATCTTATCTGTGAGGGGTTCAGAGGTTCCTATGAAAAAATGTGCTCACTTTGCTACATCTCTAAATACTGTCAGTGTCACTGCATCAGAGGAATCAGTCGTGTGCCCACTGCCTCATTTCATTTTATCCACAGAGCTCAGTGTTTGTATTAAAAGGAAAAGATCAGACAGAACTCTATGATGTAAGAGTATCAGACCTTAAACTGACATAGTGCAAGCAAAGCAACCAAATTAATTATTAGGGGATATTATGCATTTTCAGCATAGAAAGGGCCAGATGGCTGCAAAATTAAAGATGATACATGCTTTAAAAATCTGATGCAGTTTTACTCAATTACATAATTTTTCACAGGTGCTGATTCATAAACGAAACTTGATTTTTCTTCATAGGTTTCTACACTTGCAGATTTTCTAGATGTGAAAACATAACTTCTAGTCTCAAAAGCAAACTGCATGTTCCATCCTCTACTATTTCAAGTTCCTGCATCTTGCTGGTCTAAGATGTTTTTTCACACAGAGAAGGTAAGGTAGAAATTATCTTAAAAGGGAAATAAATGGAGGAAATGAAAGAGTATGTGCTTCAATACTTATAACGAATTCTTGGAAATGCATTTGAAGCACAAGTTTGGGAAATGCACCAGGGAGCACAGACAGCATCTTTCCCACTGCCCTTCATCACATTATAATAACAACTTTCTTGAAAGGAGTGAGAATTACAAAATTCTCAGCTACATCAGGAACAGAGGCCTCACCCAGAGGTATGCAGGGTAACAGTTACACATGCAGACAAAAAGAGGATCACTGGCAAGTTTTAGTAGGTCACCAAACTGGGCAGCTGAGAGCAATGTCACAGAGTGCATGTCCTGCAGTGCAGACAGAGGTGGGGATATCAGCTCTACACTAATGCTCTTTAATTACAGTGAAGACCACAAAGGTCTGAAGTACTGGGGGAGATGGGAATGAGAGCCCTGAACAGCAGATTCAGTTGTGCTCCAAAAACTGTACCTTAAAGGAACTGCAGGAGTTTCCTGAAAGATGGCAAAACATGAGCTTTGGGTTTAGCAGGAAAGGCATGCTGTTGTGTGGTAACATAGTTCATACATCCTAAAATGTGTCTCAACTAACCTTGCAATATTCTCACTGCTCACAACAGGAATTACCTCTCCAGATTTATGCACCCTTGTAGAAGTAGCAAAACATGGCTTAGAAACAGGTGATGCAATCCTCATTCCTTCAACAGAGTAGAGTAACCTGATAGAGCCACAACAACTGCTTTGTGCCTCTAATTGTCCCTGTCACCCAGCTGTTCCCTCCCTGCTGGTGTTCACTGCCCCTGTCCTCACATCTGTCACTCCCTCCGCTGTCCCCCATCAGCATCTTGATCCTGTCCATGAGGCAGACATGGGTCCATACCTCACAGCTCCATCTGGTTGTCCTGCAGCCTGAGGAGGGATCTGCTATGTACCAGTTCTGTAGCAGGCATCAAAATAGATATGAATTTTAGCATTACTTTTCTTCCTGACCTACACTCATGCCTGAGCTGCAATCAATGTACAGTAAAGGCAGCCCAAATTGCTCTCAACCTCTGCAGACAAGGCAGGGGAAAACCAAGGTTTGAGTGAGAAAATCAATTAAATTAATGTATCTGGGTCATGAGAAGAGAGGTCAAGATGACTTTGTGCTTAATGCCTTTATCACAAGCATATCCTTGCAAAATACTAATTTTAAAATACATTTCAGTCCCTCCCATTTCAATCATTCTCTCTAGACTCTTACTGAAATGTACCACCTTGTGCCAAACTAGTGACCTCAAAGTGGAGGAATATCAGATCTCCACTGTTTCCCAACGTACAGATGCATGTTCAGTTCCACTCCCCAGAGATGCTGTTGTGGCTGATAAAGGGCAACTATCCAGACTGCTCCATACATTATTTGACACAGAACATTCCTCATCAACCCTGTCAGACACTCATCTGCATAACTCCCACAGAAAACTCGATAAAGAAGTAAGAATCTGTCTGCCAGGTTCTGTACTTTGTAGTTGTTAGGAGCTTTAGCAAGCCCCAGATTCCAGATGAACAGAAACAATAACAGTTGGCTTGTTGATCAAAACCAATTCATGACTCATTATTCATGGCCAAAACCTTTGGCTGTGCAACAGATGGGAATCCTTCCTACTCACTTTGAACAGTGCCAGTGATCTTGCAACCAGCTTCTTTCTGACATCAGAAGTACATTCCCAAAAATACATTTTGGGATACCTCCAACCTACCTGACAAAGGGAAATAGTCTGGCAAGCTGCTCTACACTTTACTTAATACGGATCCAGACTGTCAGGTGACTCTACTTCTAACCAAGAAACCCTCAGGAAAATAAATCAGCCTTGTAGAACTCTTTGTTGCCAGAACTATATAGAAGCCAAACTGCAACATCTTCTTTCAGTGCCAGTGGAAAAGCAAGTCCTAACATGGGTGTTTCCAAGCCATCTGACACTTTGACATCTCACTTTGATTGCCCTTGCACTGCTCTTCAGGGAAGGTTTGCTTAGTTCTTCACTGAAAATTTGGCTTCTAGTGGGGTTTGTACACCAGTGCAAAGAATTCTATCAGTTCTTATTTTCTATCAAAATCAGAGAGAATGTGTGGATGTAAACCATCCTTGACCAGGGGACTCTGATGTCTAGCTAAATAAGAAAGCAGGAACTTCAGTAATAATACATTTGAAGGTACTCTGACAAAAATGTATTTTTGCAGTCCTATGTAAAGAACATCTACAGTTTAGTGACAGAAAAACCAGAGACAGTATTGTGCTGTTTTCCTTGAAGTTCTGCACATTTTCTATTTTCTCACGTATGTATGATCAAGCTTCTCTCTATTTTAGAAAAAAAGAAAAGAAAAAAACTAAGAATATATTGTCAGTGTAGACTTTATCCCCTCTTTATTCCCAATGCTCAGGAATGCAGAGGTAAAGCAAGTTCTACCCTGGTCTGGCATCTTAATGTTGTAGTGCTGCCCTGAACTGCAGCTTGAATGTCCCAGGTGTGGCACCCAGTTTGGAAGAGTTTGTTGGAACTGATTCTCAAGGCAAATACTTGTGAGTGAAGCGCAGGTTGAGACATGGTGTTGAACAACAAGGTGATTATTTCAGGGGAGGAAGACTTAAGGAGGTTCCCTTTATCAGACTCCCCCTAGCATGTGATATAAATAAGTGCCTGACCTGGATTTGTTCAACTAGTGAGCTATGCTTAGCTAAAATGAGCTATATCATGGCCCCTAAATTAGAATATTTTGATAAGGTGGTTACAAAGAACAGGTTAATGATTTTTTACAAGCCATTATGAAAATGTAATTCTTAAAATGCCTTAGGATAAATAAGGATTCCAGCTGGCAAAAAGGTACAATGAAGCAATATTTAGAAAGCTGCCTGCAGAGCATGGAAAATATCTAGGGCTTCTTAGGTTTTATGGTTTAAATACTAATAGTGGACAAAATATTTCCACTTGTGGGGAGAGAAAAGTAGAAAAGGCAAAACCTAGATTCTTCTCTGGACCTCTAGGATCTGTTGAAAATTGTCACTTCTCCCTGGTGTGAGGAATGAGTTTTATAAATTGAGACCAGCACCTCCTCTAAAAGCATAGGAGCTCTCCATTCTATACTGTTCTCCTGAGTCCACCTGAAATGGCAACACTGTTCAGGATCTGGCCTAAGCTTCATACCACTGCTGAAATCCTATTAGCAAAAAAGATCAAAAATTTTTTTTGGACAGCCTTTTATTGTTGTGTCTTAGAAATGCCAAGGTATTGTTTATGTTCCTTTGTGTCACTCATAGCCCTTGCACAATGCTAGTCCTGTAATGAGTAGCTGACCTGTGCAGTCAGTGTTTTATGGTTAGGCTGGGAGAGCCAAGAAAAGCAGCACAAAGTTTGTCACACAACTTGGATAAAGTAATACAGATGCCATCTCTTAGTGGGACTATTTAATGAAAACATTGCAATTCAATTGCATTAGCCAATTTTTTAATTAGCTATTAATGCATTACTGTAACATTCCTGGTGCAGTTCAAGGTCAACTAAAACAATTTTGATTCGTTTCCCACATTTTCCAGACTGAATAAAAGCAGCTTGACTTGATTAGGTCACAGTCCTTTTTTAACAATAATTTGTGTACTCTTTCCAATTTTATCCTTCATGTAAAGCATCAAATTAAAGTGAAGATTCAAAATTCACCAACTCATCCCCCAACTGTGTAAACAAAAACAAATCTCTTCGAATCTCTCTGATACCCACACAGTATTTTTATCTGGGAGAATTTACATGTACACTTTGTTGAACAGGAACTACTGGCATATAAACAACACTGCAGGGAAATGGTGATTACCTGCCCAGAGGGATGTCACCTGTCATCCTGAGCCATTCCAAAGGGGAAGGCTGGTTGGCCCATCAAGAAACAATGGGAGTGTGACAGCTCATATTTGAGTTTCATTGCATTACCACAATGCAAATATGTGCCCAGTTCAAGCACCAAGAGGAGGAACAAGAAGTTGCTCCTGCTCATTTCTGTGTGGGAGGAAGTCTGGATCCATCCAGTATGGAATCTGGCTGAGGTTTCCTGTTCCCTAAATACAGCTGTCTAACCTCTGCAGATTTCTGCTGGTTCAAGTAGCCTAGTGTGGAACAGCAAGCAGCAAGCACTCACCCTATTACTGTACTCTCACCCCTGCACTTAGGAGCAAGCAGTTCTGCAAAAACAAATGGAGCAAGTATCTGTCCCTAGCTGTCAGCCAGGAACTCATCCTTGAAAAGTTTGACACACAGAAAAATTGCTGACTATATATAACTGAAGCCAAGACAGAGACAAAATTCTAAGCCTGCACAAAAATTCTGTAGTGGAACTAAAGTGTAGAAGGTAGTGCAGTTAATGGTCATATCCTGCAGATTTATGTCTGCTTTGTGAAAAGGGAAAATCCCTACCTGAGAAGTCATGTAGATAACAACATTATGCCTTTCTTTCCCTTTCCTCTGGGGAATTTGCAAGGCTTTTGATCCTCACACCAAATATTATTTTTTCAGTGCATTGGTTCTTTCCCCTTGTCATCCATATATACTTCCTGCACTTTCAGGCTCCATGACAGTAACATAAAGTTGATACTGCAGTTTGGAGGAAGGCTGAGGCTGTACTAAGAAACCACAAAGTAACTGCTCCCAGTTATCTGTATTTAAGATTTTTTTTAAGATTTAGAGAGGTTTTTCCACTGATTTTGGTCTAACTTAAGGAGCATGAAAGACCACCATTCAGACACAGTAACATCAAAAGCTATCATCAAAACGGAAAAAAACCCAAGTCCCATCAATCAGAAAATGGAAAGAATTACTTTTAAAAGAAATGTGACATACTTACTTGAGATGGAGGAAGATCGGACGTTTATCCTCAGAGGCCCTGTGTATCTTTTCAGGCCCCTCCGTAAGATCTTCCCAACTCTTTCCCGCAGTGCTTCTCTAGAGTCCGTAGCGGAGAACCAGAATGTGAGCAAAGCCTCTGCCATCACACCATCAGTATCTGGGCTACAAACCAATGAAAGAGTCTCGTTACCTCCAGCCCACTTCTGCATTTCTTAGCTTTTATCTTAGCTTCTCTAGCAATGGCAATGTAACATAAAAGATTAGATACATTTTCAAGCATTTGTGAGAAGGAATTTCCAAAAGAAATCCAAGAATGCTGAATGGTCAAATGCATCATAGGCTAGAAGACAGCATCATGCTTTCTGTGAACAAATGGCCAGACCAATTTTATAATAGAGTCCAAAAAGCAGTCGCTGACTACATGCCTGAGACAGAAGAGAGGAAGGAATGAATTTGATTGCAATGAAAAGCTGGATAAACAGCACTTGGAAACATGAGGTAGATGATTAACAGTATCTACACAGACCTTTCAATGGCCCTGCACATACACAGAATAAAAATTTACAATCATCATCAGAAAGGTACTTGGACCTTTTTGGGAGATGAGAAGAGACCACACAACCTAATTCCACCATAGCACTCTCTTGGAGAATGTTCCTAATAGCCTCATGTTGTGCAACAATAAATGAAACTTGGCAACATGCCCACAGCATATTTATTAAAGTCAAAGAGCTGGATCACAAAAGGGCCTTTAATGCCTCATTGAAAAGTTCAAGCAGCACACACATTGAGACACATAATTCCACAATATTAATGTAAGATCAGAGGAAAAAAAGGGAGAAAAGTCTTGTAACAGATTGAATTCACCTGGTAGTTGTATTTCATTTTCCTTAAAGCATCAGATACTGCAAGAGATGGAATGATAGACTACAAACATCAAACTGACTAATCTGGCATAGTAAATCTTGCTCTGTACTTGCAGATGTCTTATCCCTGGTCATCACAAAGGGAAGGTAAGAGCTTGCACCAGGAACCTTCTCTCCTGTGCCTCCTCCCACCTGAACCAAGAAGCAATGAGACACAAGCCACAACAGATGAAATCACAGTTACTTCATACAGGGGGAGAACTTAAAGCAGGTTTCTCTTTCTTTGGATAGGAAAGGAAAAGAGAAGATCTCCTAGTTATATATCACCGTCTTGGAAATTTGTAATTACATAAAGGAAAACTAGAAGATGGACAGCTTATCCAGAACTCATGCAAGCAGGCTTTAATCTTTGAAGGGAACATGTGCAAAATTGAAACAGACATTCCTGATATTGCCAGTGAAGGGAAAGAAAAGGCCATATGCTTTAAGCACACCAAGGCATGCCAAGTGGTTCATAGGTGAGCAGAAAGACACACTCCTTGCTTCAAGGATCTCATAATTGAGACTGAGAAGTTGTATGTGAAGTTTTCAACAGACTGTTTTTTCAATTTGTTCCAACTTCAGCGTGATTGCCACTTCATTTATTTTCCAGATATTATCTGATCCAACTGTGGGTGTTGCTCTGCATTTCTGAGGTGTTCCCTCACCTCTCCCCCCACTCCTCTTCCTGTGCTATGCCACACTGGAATTACCATATCAACTCTTGCAAGCAAACCACACCTCTCGAAACCCTCAGGTAAGTACTGCCCACCCTGATTCACTTATTATATAGCAGAGATCCAGAGCCAAGGACACCTTTTCAAGATTAGTATTGTCTTTCTCAGTGAGCAGTGGCATTATTATTAATGCATTGCTAATACTGAGCCAAAAGATACACACAGTCCTTTCCAAGTAAATTCACAACCATGACCCTGCTCAAAAGAACTTGCAGTCTGAGCCCTTGAAGAGGCATAAAGAGTGTATATCTGAAAAAGCAAACAAGCTTTGGCGCATGCAAATCTTGCATCCAACATAGCAAACATCACAAATACCTCAGTCTGTCCTTGGGAAAAAGAAGCAATGAAAAATACCACTTATCCCTATATATTGGCCTCTCAGATCCCTAAATCACTCTGCCTATGCTTGCAACACTCTAGACAGTATCAAAAATATCCTTAAAGCTTGTATGTCACTGGGGATTAAGCTAAGGCAGAGGAAGAGGCAGGATGTCACAAACCATGTAAGAACAAAGAGGAGTACATTCAGCACTTTAGATCTTAGTCTTGTAGCTTTAGTCTATGATTATGAAGACATTCAAGGTTTCTTTGCAAAGTGTTGGGCACTGTCACTCAGGAGAAAGATCTTAGTACTACAATAGACAGTTATGTAAAAAGATAATTTTCAGCACTTAACAGTAGTTAAAAAAATCAAATTAAACATTATGTATTATTGGCAGTTGAACAGAGAGTAAAAGAGGAAAAAAAGTTCCACATTGCTCAGTGATAATCTCAACTATGGGTCTGACCTATTCATCTCAAAAAAGCAGGAACAGCAGACCTGAGAGATGTATGGAATGGGGTGATAAGAAACAGTTTGAAATGCAAAGAAGGTTGAGTAGACTGGGATTTCCAACTGAAAAATGAAAAATTAAAAAAGAGTGGATCTTATTGTATACAAGAGAGAAAATATGATGGGAGTGTCCAGTATCAGTAAATGCACAGAGAGGAGGGTAGTGATCAACTTTTTATCATCTCTTTCAGCACAAGAGCTAGGGGTCATTGAATGATCCAAAGAAGGTGGCTCTTCTTAAGTTTCTCCTTCCTTAAGGACCGAGGTGCACGGATTTCAAGAGCCCAGGAGACAACAGACAAGTCCTTGGGAAATAACGCCACCGAGAGCTGCTAAACAAACCACAGCCACTTCAAGAACTCCCAAGTTGTAAATACCTGGAGGCAGGGAGCATACCAAGAAGCAGTTATCACAGCTCTGCCGTGCTGCTACTGTTTCCTGGGCACCTACTTATGCCCATTCTCAGAGCCACAATGATAAGTGGGACTTTCTGAGCCAGCACAGCCTGGTTTTACTTGACAAGCCCAGTGCAATAGAAATGCTAGAAATGACATCTGCATTACAGTGTGAGAAATAGTTTTGAAAATCCTTTTTGGTTTTAGATAGCTTTAGTTATCTCTGCTTTAATGACTAAAGCTTGTTCAGAATCTGAACACAAACTTGTTGGAATTTGGACTGACTGAAGGGTATCTTCTGCATTAAGATCCAAAGGAGAGCAAGGTTCAGAACTAGATTATGCTCAGTTAGGGATTATGCTCTGGTTTTACGCACAATACACTTCACTGAATCAGATCTATCTGGGCTTGGTGTACATTTAATTTTATCTCAGCTGCGTGCATTTATTATTATCTCACATACCTCACTCTGATTAAGCGTGAACGGATGTATTTTTTCCTTAAAATGGAATTGTAAAATGTCTTGTCGATCTGTTGAAAAAAGAAAAATATAAGATAACAACAAAAAAGGAGGGAAGTGGACATATAGCTGGAAGGAGCATTCAGAAAACAGCATTCAGTAACAAACTCACAGGTTACAGAGCCAAGAAACATAGAGCAGCCCAGCCTCTAGATAATATTTGTCCCAGATCTTTTATAATCATTTCCCCTTTCACCTAAGGCATATCATAAAAAAGCAAGCTCATTTTTCTAAATGTCCTATGGCTACATCAGTGTGCCACTGCAGTGCTGTCTCATCCACTCCCAGGCATAATGAAAAATACATGAACATCCTTGGAACACACTGCTGCACTCTTCCAAAGCACAGCTTCCTGAAGACTGCCCACAGAATGGATACAGCATGCTGTGCTCTGCAGTGCACTCAGCCTCTCTTGTCGGGGTCCTTTCTGACACAGCCTTTACCCTTGGTCTTACAGAAATCTATAGTAAAGCCACCAATAATTCCAAGTTATTATTGGATTATCATGTTCCACTATCACCCTTGTGATTTTCCACATGCTTGGACAATTGTCAAGCAATTCTCATCGGAAACTGGAAATCCAGGAATCCTAAGGAATTGATCCCCAAATAACATCTTTACCAGTTCCTGCTCAACTACATCCTGTCAGGATGTCATCTCAAGATTGCAGGATCAGTCTGAGACAGCTCAGTGTGATATAACATGGCATGAAATTCTGCCAGGAATGGCTTGGGATCACCGAAGGATTGAGAAATAGCAGAGTCACTGGTGAGTTATGCAGCAACTCCTCCTACCAGCAAGACCCAGTAAATTGTACATATCCTGTAAACATCAAATGCATGACAGGAAAAACTGCACAGAAATGCTTTGCAACATCATGTAAGCTGTCTCTTATTTTTTGTTTTTAGCCCTTAAAGGCAGTCTATTTTAGCCAAGTCTCAAGATGTTCTGTTTTCCAAAGGAAAGAAAAAAATAATGGTTCTCAAACTATTCATATGTGGAAATATGTCAGATACAGAAACAAGCATGTAAGCATGAAATCTGGGGGTGATTCCTCCCAAGGAACACAAACCCCCTATTTTCCAGCCTTGGCTGTCACAATATGAAGCTTCATGGCATTGCACAGGGATATTTAATTAGAATAATTATAAGGTGAAAACTGCACAATTATTATTTTAAGGTGATTTTAAGCATACATTAGTAAGGAAAAAAAGAAACATTTTTAATGGTCATGCATTTCGCTGATGTTGTACCTTGCTCTTACTGGCAGTTATCTGCAATTAGTTTGACATTTAAACAGACAAAATTCTATGGAAAAAGACATCTCAACTACAACAAGCTGCTGTAGATAGGCAGAATGCCTTTTATTCTCTCACTTTGCAGATTGCCTGCTGCTACCACTGCATTTGATGATGCATCCAGTTAAAAAGAGTTTTATTTCCTATAACTCCACATCCTGTTCCACCACAACCTCCCCTGGTTATTGGAAGCAGTTTCCTTAGACAAAAAGGGAGCTTTTCTGCTTTGTTTTTTTTTAATGATAACATTTGCTTATCATTTCTGTCACAGTGTTAACTGCTGCACCAGTGATTGTGTAAGCAGAAGCATGTGGCTGAGCAGCACTGCAGCTTTTTGGCATGCAGTGGCATGTGCTATCTTCAGCTGCCTCGTCTTTGAGAACTTTTGAGATCTTTGGGACAGGGACTTCTTTGAGGAGTGCTTTGCAATCAAAAGAGAGCCTTGAGCTGGGCTGAGATACACCTCAAGCTGCTGCATTGCTAACAAGCACAGTGAAATCAGAGGGACTTTCAGCTTGGGAGTGAAGAGGGCAGGAATTCACATTCCCTTGCAAGAGAGGGTTGTGTCCATTTGACATTCTCAAGTCCTTTATCTCCTCCTGACAGCTGGATCTTCAAGATACCTTACTGTCTCAGATGTCAAGTGGTTTTGCTACACTTTCCACTTGCACTTCTGCAGCAGATACAGAGATCCCTACTTCTATCATCCATTCTCTTGTGTATCTATGTTACAGCCTAAGCAGCTTGTGTGGTTGTGGTTTTTGTACTCCCAACATGTTCAGCTTTCTCCTTTTCTCCTTAGCCTGGACTGCTTCCAAGATGTTCCATTCAGTCTGATTAGGAACACCATGTGCTGCAGCAGAGACAAGGACTTCCAGTGGTGGCTCACAAAACTTTTGTTTGTACTTTTAACAAAAAGACTCTATGGAGTCCAAACACAACTAAACTATCAGCAACAGACACTGTTTTCAGAACATTCAATCCAGAAGGCGTGTTAGATAATTTTCATGGGGAGAACAGGAAGCATATGATTTAAAATTATACCAAATCTGTGTTACTTCCATCCTCTTTCACACTTTCATATCTGAATGAAAAAGTAGACACCTTTTCCATTACACACTGTCACTGACTTTCCCACCCTTAAGTGTTGCCTTAGCACTACATCACCCACAGACAAAAAAATAACTGAAGGTTGGCTTTGTTTTCAGTGAACCTTGCAGGGCCTTTAACACCTTCAAATGTGAGCTAACATTTTTTACTTTTGCAAACTACTGTGTTGTATCATGAAAGAAGCCCTAGCCAAACCTCTGCACTGTCGCCTACCACTCAACTGCTGATGAATTCATTTGGCAAATATGACCCAAACCTCTTCTTTCCTTCAACAATGATTCTGGTAACCTGAATTATTAAACATAATTTTTATATTCATACAGAGTTTATATAAGAGGAGAGTATGAAGGAAGATGCTGTCAGATAAAAACTTTCAGAGATTAATGTTCTGCCTTATATTTTTACAGTTCTTTTTTTGGTGAAGGCTTTCACACACCAAACAGAAAACATTTCTCTCCAGCCTGCTAATAGCTTTCTTTTCAGTTTAAGTCACAACCATTGGAGCAAAAGCAACTAGGACTTTGTTCAGTGACTAGGTGTGACCTGGTCCTGCTTGGGAGAAGCATTTAAACTCATTTTAAATGTTTTGCTCTGATTACAGCCCCTCAAAAGTGACACTGTCATGACCAGATCCCTTCAATTCACCACTGTTAAAGTGCATCTCACTGTTTTTCCTGGCCCTTGTCTAGCAACAGCTCAACTGCTACAGCTGTTGCTGCAGACAAGGTCTATGTACATTCTGAACCAAGTGCCAAGTCCTGCTCCTTTTTAAGTGAGAAGCATTTTCCCGACAGTCTTTATTTAGAAAATGACATTTGTAATTTCCTCAGTTTAATTTCATATTCTCCAAACTTTTTACTACACTTCTCTCTATGCGGAACAATTTTCTTAGACAAACTGGACTTTGTTCCTGAGTGCTGGTCCATCCAATACAGTAACAAATAGTGGCCAGCACCAAAGATGCAGTAAGAGGGCCAAACATTCCCACTGTACAAACCCAGACAAAAAGGAAATTCTTCCTTGCTCCTTGTAGCCCGAAGTTGTTTTATACTTTGATGAACAAGACTTCTTTTCCTATTCTGTCTCAAAAAACTCCAGATCTCATCATCATACTCTTTTTCTTGTGTCGTATCATGCTCAACCTTCTAAGGCCCGTGAGCAACCTACTGAAATCTTGGTGATTCTTTTTGTAAAAATCTTTGTGATTTCAGAGTCTCACAATATGTCCTTCCTCCCTGGGACCCATAAAACACCCAAACTCTGGAAATAGGTCACAACAGGGATCCCATTGCTCCTGGGTAGTGGGAACTGACATGAGCTGGCCTTGTCCAGATGTGTGGCTGTGTCTGGAAGTGCCCCAGCAAGGCTGGCCGTGTCAAGCCCTCGCTTTCTCCCACCACACACTGCTCTGCCACCACATGCTGGGTCACAAGGTTCATCAAAAAGTTATCTTAAATCTAGTTTGACAGAACTCTCCTCAGGAATATTTGCTGGATGCACTGAGTTATTTGCATGGGATGTTCCAAAGCATTCATTAGACATGGGAGCACAAAGCCTCTCATTGCTCAATAGTGTTGCTTTTTTGCCTGCTGCCAGTTTAGTCCTTCAACAGCTATCCTCATACCACATTCTTCCTCTTGCCTCAGTAGCTACTTAGGATGTAAAGCCTATTATTAGTGATATTTAAAGCTTTTTGACCATAAATAGAAATTGCAACATACAACTTGATTCAGTGACTCTCCCCAGTTTACAGTTTAACATGCTGAGACCCCTAGAGCAGACCATAATACAAATCCAATAGCTGCTCCTTTGAGAACCTGACATTTTTACTGCCCTGATTTCAACTAAGGGGTTGAGAGAGGACACAAAGAGAAAGACTGACAGGGACAGCAAAAAAAAGAATGTGGCACTGTTCCAAACCAGGATGTGGACATCACACTCTCCTTGGAAACAGACATTCCAATTACTACCACAGCCCTACAGCCACAGTCCTTGCCTGAGGTGAAGAAAACAGACTTGAAGGAGAGCAAGTTCAATGGTCCCCTTGCCTCCAGCAAACCAGAGGATCAGGACCTGCCCATCAGAAACCACACACACAAGGACAGCAGGTCTCACAGCGGGCAAGAGCTGTGTGATCCCAAACATCAGCAAACGGCATCACAAACTCCTCACAGGGTTTAAGCTAACAGGCCTGCTAAAGCTGAGGGGTGAGTAAGCACTGCCTGACTGCACTGAAATAAGGAGCTCAGCTGGATGCTCCCCAGAGGCCACATCTGCAAAAGAGGAATTATTGTCCTTGTATAATTGTAGTTCCTAAAAAGATTGGTCTTTCGGATAAAAGAAATTAAGAGGACTAATACATGGGATAACGTCAGGATTTAAAGTACCATGCTTATGCTTGGTGCAACCAATTTCAAAGGCATGTAATGACATGAATGTTTCATTATAGTTATGTGTATTAGTGACAGCTGGAATTAAGGTCACCTAAGTATTCTCATTCCTACTCCCTGCTTTCAATTATCCATAATTAGCTTCCTAAAACTTTCACACTGCTATTAACATTTTGTCCACTTAGGGGGGCAATTTCCAACTTTGGGAGAGAA